ATATATAATTTTTTTTTTAATCTTTTTCAGACAAACTTTCACTATGTGGTTTAGGCTGGCCTCAAACTCACTTTGTAGCTCAGGTTGACCTCATACTTGCAGTGATGTTCCTGCCTCAGCCTCCAGAATGCTGAGATTCCAGGCATGGGCCACCACACCTGGCACCATTTTATATTCTAACCAAAACTGTATAAGAGTTCTAATTTCTCCACCAATTTCACCACCTTTTAGCTTTGGGGTGTTTTAAAGATTGGTTTTATCTTAAAATAAAATTATTGCACTTATAAGCAACTTTCCAAATCAAATTACTGGAAAATTGATGCAAAGCAAAATGCTTTTAAAGTATGAAATACTCCAAAGGTTCAATCTCCATCTTAAATCAGATCTACATCTTAACTTCTATGTGAAAACAATAAATATATGTCTGACACAAGTTCGTGAGCCGTTTTTATTCCAAACTGCTTTAAAATGTAAAGAGGGCTGTGGAGGCTGCTCACTGGTAAAGCAACTGTACAGTGTTTTGAAAGCCCTGAGTTTGATCCCCAGGAAGAAAGAAAGAAAGAAGAAAGAAAAGAAAGATGGAATTCATTTATGCAAATGTAGCTTATGCAAAATAGGATGCAATGTTTTTTGTTTGTTTGTTTGTTTTATGTTTTTTTGAGACAGGGTATCACTATGTAGTCGAGACTGACCTGGAACTCACTAAGTAGCCCAGGCTGGTCTCGAACTCATGGCAATCCTCCTGCCTCAGCCTCCTGAGTACTGGGATCACAGGCGTGCACCACCATGCCCGGAAATGTTATTGTTTGTATATGAGACAGTTTACTGGATATGCTCGTGTATATCATAGAGGCCATATTAAGGACTGGTGATGAATTTCACTGAAAAGGACTACACTGCTGAATAAAACAACTCTTCACTTGTGACTATACTCATCAGCACTTGGTAAACTCTCCTGGGAACAGTGTGTCTTGCTGTGAAAACACACTCATTTTCCTAATGTACCACGGCTGCCGTAGCCAAGTTCCTGCTGGGGAGCCGAGCTGGTATTTAGTGTAACACGTGGGCAGTGACCGTGGAGCTGACTCCACGTTTGTTGGGGACAGCAAGACAGGGCAGGGAAGAGAGCAGGGCTAGGACCACACTCTTAGGTGCTCGAACTTCGATAGCTCGTTTTCGTGACAGCTGCAGCCCTTGTGTTGTGACAGACTAGTGAGGACAGAGCTAGTCCACAGCACCAGTGATTTCCAAACTGGTCAATTTGAAAACAAAACAGTTACTTCTAAATGAATCATCCCAGTTCCACTCGCCGTATTTCAGTGTCTCTTCCCTAATCTCTCTCTTTTTTTTTTTTTGAGACAGGATCTCACTATTTAGTTCAGGCTGGCCCTCAACTCATGGCCATCCTCTTCCCCCAGTTTCCTGAGTGCTGTGACACCGTGCCCAGCTCTTCCCTGACCTCTAAGAAGCAGCATTCTTTCTTTGTTTTGGGTTTTTGTTTGTTTGTTTGTTTTGTTTTTATTGTTTTTTGTTTTTGAGACAGGGTCTCACTATGTAGTTGAGACTGACCTGGAACTCACTGTGTAGCCCAGGCTGGCTAAAAGCAGCATTCGTTATAATTACCCTTATCCCTGTCATTACCGATCCTGAGTATGCAGTGACTCACCCGTATATCTCCCCACTTACCAGGCCAAGTGTGGAACTCATGACCCATGGTGAGTACCTCATGGCTTCTTCATGCTCTTCTCTGCCAGGGCACATCTCACTCCCCTATCTGAGTCCATCAGGCTATCAGGTCATATTCTTAAATTCATATTTATAACATTATCCTGGCCTCCCTTAGAAAACGGGCAAGCCTTTCATCCGGGTGTGGTGGCACATGCCTGTAATCCCAGCACTCGGGAGGCTGAGGCAGGAGGATCGCTGTGAGT